TCAATTGGTATACCATCTATTCCTGGGGCATTGTTTTTTGCCGTTTCCTTCAAAGCAGCTTGAACTTCTTCCTTCATCACCGTAGGCTCTTGCTCATCATGTTATTTCATTACTTCATGTACGTGTGAATACAATTATAGGTGTTTAAATGTTATTATCTCCTAATTGTATAATTTTTTAATTTTATGTCATTTTTAATTGATTGATTAATTCTTCGTTAAGTTGTATTTTCTTGCATTTTTGCATGGCTGGTAATTATTTTTCTACTTTTAAAAAGAAGGGTTTTTTTTTTAGTTTAGAGTTTACTCAGCAGAACATGTAGCAATCAGTAGTTTCTACATGTGCAGCTTAGTGATGCAAATGATGTTTTTTCCGGGTATGTGGCTGTCCCCACCTCCTCTTCTGAGTGGTTCCTCTCTTCATCACTGCCCATAACTTTCCTGTCTGACCATTGATCCAATAAGGATAATTCTTTCAAAGCACAGTGCACAAGGCATATAGATGTCTTTTGCTGATTAAGCTAAACTATTGTTTGGTTTTAAGAAGACTTCAGGGAATATTTTTGGCTTTAGTTTTAAGAATTCTAAGAATTCTCTCAAGTAGTTTCAGAAGCTCACCTAGCCTCTATAGATTAAAAAAGTTTGGGATCTATGGGAATTTGAACTTCTCTTCTTTTTCTCTGTTTTCATCAGGATTCTTATGTGCTCTCTTTAGCTAAATGTTTAGATTTCGATCATTGTCAGAATATCTCAGTAATGGTCACTGGATGCCATCTAGTTGTACTCTTATGACAAAGGAGGCCCTTCCAGGAGGCAGGGACCACGCAATCCATCTCCTCCTTTTCCTCCCACCTCTCCTTCCTCTGCTGTCCCATGCCCTCCCAGAGGGGTTAGAATTACCCTATAGAGTCCCAATGGCTGTAAGTCTCTGGGAAGCAAACTGCCAGTTCTTTTGCCTGCACAACAGCTGGTGATTTGAATGCACTGAATTCTGTTTCTAGACAAGCACTTAACCACTGAACCACCAGGACTCCAGGCTTGAAAGAGCCCATGTTTATTCTTAGGTTGTTACTATAATTCAGATTCCAGCATGTCTTACTGGCCAAAATCCCTGTTGGCTGGGCTGCGTTCCTTTCTGGCACTCCATGGGCAAGAATGCCTTGCCTTTTCTGGCTTCCTGAAACCTTGCTTACAAGCCCTGTCCTGCCCTGTAGGAGCTGGCCTTGTCCCCATAGTCACCATCTCTCACCCAGCTGTGCTTTGTCCTCCCCCAAAGGGTCACGCTATAGATGCCTCTATGAACCAGGCAACCTCCATATCATGTTCCTCAGGTGGATAGGGCAGGGCCTCCTTTGAAACCATTCTTCTGCTGATCTTCAGTGCTGTCTGGGCAACTCCTTTGGTACTGGACCCTCTGGGACCCCCAGGTGGTGACCAAGACAGCCCCACCTCCTAGAGGTCACTAGCCTCTGTGTCCTCTTGAAAAGTTGTTTCAAGTAGTTGGTCTGGTTTTTTCAGCTTGAGGCAGGGGAAGGGCAAGTCTGGAAGATTTTACTTTAGTTGAAACTGGTTTGGATTTGCAGTTAGCAGTTGTGTGAAGGCTGCCCCAGGGGCGGGATGCCAGAAGCTGAACCAACTTTCACCTCCCAGTGGATGAGAGAGGTGGGTGGTCCTGGCACTGCCTACATATAGCCTTTCTCTCACATGGATTCCTGAGTGCAGGTATTTGCTGCGTAGCCCTGGCCAGCCTGAGTGGCACTGTGGGGTCTGACCCAGGGTGTGCCATCACCTCTGAGCAGCATGTTCTGACCTTGGTCTGGAATCTTTCATCGTGCACCTCTTCATGTGGACATTTGCTGTCTTCAATGGAACCACAGACAGGAGATCAGTTTTTATTTCTGTTTGAGTTACACCTCTCAACTGCTCCCTGGGCAAGAAGGGGAGATGCTGGCTGACCTCCATTTCCAGACGGTCTTCACTTACTGTCTGGTTCCTGGAGTTCCTGGAGATTCCTGGCCTGCTAACCTTCTCCTTGGTGGTTTCCTGGGGCAGTGGTTGGTTTTACTCTAAAATGTGCATCTATCTTTCTTGCGCCTGGGCTCCATGGGGTCAGGTGAGGTGGGTGGCTCAGGGCTCAGGTGGGATTGTTGGGCTGAGGACCATTCTCTTTATCTGGTTTTTCTTTCTTGAGTTCCACTACTTCCTGAATACTGTTTTGCTCTGAATATCCCTCTGGACAAGGCACAGCTTCAGGGCCGGGTCCTGGTGAGGACAATGTACTGCAGGGACTGGCCCTGCCTTGGCTGAAAGCAGGGAATACCAGAGGAATGTCTATCTGTGTTTCATTAACTATGCAAAGGCA